CTCCTTAAAAAAAGTGACATTTTGGTACATACATGATGGCAAAATGCAATTTGGTGTAATTTCCTCTTCATAATTTAATTGTACTTATCACTTAATGTCATATTAGTGCTACATGTTTTAATATCAATTATGCTATATAGTATTACTCATATCAATTACATTATCTAATATGTGTGAAAAGTAGAAACAAATATATCTCCATGTGACGGATGATGTATAATTCTATTCAACGATGAATTAGGAATTTACTGATTCTAAACAGATGATGATTTTTACTAATGATACATAGCCTTTGTCTAGCCGTGTTATTTCCTTTAAAAAAATAGACTACCTACAACAATCAAATGGGTCCCGTTTTCATTTCTTTAATGCAAAAATAATGATCATTTCTAATAAGTGACAAATCAGTACTGGAGTCAATATTAGCGACTACTTGTTGAAATGAACATTTCATCCTTCCACTTTTGTTGTGGCACGTAAAACATTTTGACAGTGGCCTCTTCCTGCCATCAATATATTTCTTGCTTGTAAGCACACGCAATCAAAATGTCATTACCATATAGCAGCAAGATAATATAAGTGTTATCAATGTTCTTTATATAACAACAATGATCCTCATGACACCTTTTAAAATCATTACTACTCATAAAACTATCAAACTTCTTATATCACTGTCTTGGAGTTTGTTTAAGACAATATAAGCTCTTTTCAAGTATGCACACTATTTTCTCCTTTTTCATGTACTTCGAAACCTTGTGCATCATGTAAATTTCTTCTTCAAGATCACTTTGAAGAAAGGTCGTCTTTACATCCAACTGTTCTAGGTGCAAGTCTTCATTTACCACTGATCCAAATACTACTCTAATTGTAGATAATTTTACTGCATGAGAGAAAATTGAACAGTGTAGTCAATACTTTTTCTGTTAAAATCATTTTACAAACAGTCTTGGTTTATATCGCTTGCTTCCATCATGTTCTTTTAACAGGTAAACCTATTTATTCTACAAAGCCTTATTTCCTTTAGGTAGCTCTGTCAATTGTCATGTCTGATTGGATAATAATGAGTCCATCTCATTCCTCATGACTAACTCTCACTTGATTGATTCATCAACCTGTACAGCTTCATTTTAACTTTCTTATTCACCTCTATTAGTCAATAAAATATAATGCAATGCGAGATAATATCTCTATAAAGGTCTAGCAATTCTGTTGGATTTTCTGGATTGAGTCATAAAGGTGTTATGATGTACTCTCTAGGCTATATTTTCTTTATTTTCACAATTAGTATTCTCTAACGCAATCGCTAAAAGATCTTTCAATAGGATCTCCTCATGTTTCTTAACTTTGGGACTTGATTCAAGACACTTTCATTGAAGATCACATCATTGCTCCTGATAACTTTTCGAGTTTGATCATCCCAAAAATGATAACCCAACTCATTATCATCACATCCAATAAAAAAACACATTTTTGGTTTAGCATCAAGGTTACCTTTTGGAATAGAATCAATGTGAATGCATGAAATACAACCAAACACTTTCAAATGTGAAATTTTTACCTCTTTACCACTCCACCTCCTCTAGTATTTTGCACTTCAATGGCATTGAGGGACCTTTGTTGATCATATAAGGCCTCAACCCAAAATAATTTTGGTAACCCAGCATATAATCTCATACTTCTAGCACACTCATTTAAAATTCTATTCATTTTCTCAGCTACAACATTTTGTTGAGGTGTTCCTAGAATGATCTTCTTCATCTTGATTTTATTTTATTATCAACACAACACTTTTTGAAATCATCATGTACATACCCTCTCCCGTTATCTAACTGCAAATACTTCACACCAAATGTGTCTCATTTTCAACCATCGCTTTCCATCTCTTAAAAGCATAAAAAATATCACCCATAACTTTCGGCTTAAGTCATCAATAAATGTCACATAATAATTGGAACCTCAAAGGGAGGTAACAGTTGAAGGTCCCCATACACTTAAAAGCATAAAAAATATTAGATTTATTCTTCATAAAAGAGACCCAGGTAACAGTTGTCCCCATATATTTGTATGAATCAACTCCAATTTTGTAACTTTTGGCTCCCTTTTGATTTTAGAGAAACTCACCCTTTTTTTCTTGCCAAGAATAAGGGTTCACACAAAATAGTGTTTAACAGATTTCAATCACGATAGCTTTCCTTTAGATTGAAGCACTTTCATTTCCTTCTTAGTCATATGTCATAGCCTACAATGCCACAAGCCATAACTAGCAACTGAATCAACAAATGTATTCATGTCTCTACAATTGGAAGTTATGTAAAGTGTTCCATTTTCTCGAGCAACAACTATGGCTCCCTCATTAACTTTCCAAACACCAGCATTGAAAGTCACAATATGACCATCATCATCAAGTTGTCCAACTGAAATCAAACTATGCATCAGTTTATGTACATACTTCTCCTTATGAATTTTCCATACAGACCAATGCCAATAATATCCTTGGAAACAAAAGACAGTTAAGTGCAGTTTGTATGACAAATTCGATACGCTCAAAGGGTAATCTAGTTCTTTCTGCCTTTTATAATCCATTAATCATCTCATATAAGGGTTTTGATCACTTATGCCTTTGGGTTAAGGGCAAGAACTGATCTTTTTTTTTTCCTAAGCCCTACCATCAACACAAATATAAGCAAACATCATGCATATCCCAAAAATTCCTTCTGGAACCTCAGACCCTTTATCCACTGATCTGTCCCCATTCTTGATTCTCTCATACACAAAAATAGAATAGGGGATACATAAACAATATAACTTTATCGGGGTGCACGTAGACTTTGTCGCGGAAGAGTAAAATGACGCCGGCCTCTTCAAGAACTCGAGCGAAGGCGGCAGCCTCATCAGCCTCTTTACTTATTATCCATCCCCAGCTTCTCCTTCAATGCCTCCACATTCACCAGCCTCATCAGCCTCTTTGCTTCAGCATACGTCATCCTATTTCCATTTCCATTACAGTCATCACCATTCTCAATTCCACCGCCGCCTCCGTCGCCCACGATGGAACTATAAAAACATAATGACGGACCCATCAATCTACTGGATTCAATAAAGCGAAAACCACCCATCTTTGCGCGAGCTGCTGGCATCATGCCATGTTTGAACAAATTAAAAGAAGTCCTCCACATCTTTCCAAATTTCTGTTTTTCTTTAAAAATGTAAAAGTGCATTTTTTTCTGTAACTAAATTATAGCATGGCCATGGATGATCTTTTAGAATATCAATTGAGATCTCAAAGAAATCAGGAAAGAAAGGAAGAACAGATAAAACTGAAAAGTAAATAGTGTGTTGATTCGAGAATGTAAGTTTGGGTTGCTAAATTTGTGAGGCCCAAAACTCGTATGCAGCTGGCCCATTACCTCAGCCCAAATGGATGACCCGTGAAGAAGAATCTGGAAGGCTGTTATAACAAAACACGTTTCTGTTTTTAAGTGGACCTCCTGAATTGATGACATGTGGCACATTTACTACTGTTGGATCCTTGATCTCTTATATGTAGGCTGTGTAATTTTTTGGGTTTTGAACTATTCATTTTGTGAGGGTTTTTGGCTGCGGGCTGTTCATCTTCTACTGAGAAAATAGTGGGAAATACTCGTATGACCCGTCCAATTTTGCAAAATAGTCGTTAATCACGTAAAAAAAAAATAAAAAACAAGCAAAAAGGAGTTTTTCTCGAAATTACCCTTATCATTTGAAGAGGGAGGGAGAGGAGAGAGCCAAAAAAACCCTGACGAGGCCCCCACCATTTCTTCACCGACGACCCGGACGCCGAAAATCACCATTTTAAGTTGAAGAAGGTGAGTG